AGCACTGCTGCTTTTGGGGCATATCACATCCACCAGAAAACCAAAGTGTGAAGTTCAAATAACTTCAAGGGGCAAGAAAGTAGGTGTGGATTTAGTAAGCACACACCAAGAACAGCAAAAACAAACACAAACTCACACAATAAGGTTGACCATTTCTGTTTAATGTGAAGCAGCTCTAAAACAGGGAGTTGTACAATATAAAGTATATGTCAACTTCCCTACTATCACATTGCACTTGTAAACTTGGTTACTTGTTGAGAATAATAGTCCATATGTGGGAGATGCTCTCTCAACTGCACCTGTGATCAACACTGAATATAAGGACAATTTATCCCAGTTTTGAATTTCATTTGTTAAGGATTTATAAATGGAAAGAATAGCAGCCAATGCAAACAACACAAACTACAAGTAAAAAAGGCAAAAGAAAAAAAATGTGATGAAGGCAAAAAAGAAGAAAAAGTAAGTTCTCCCTTTACCCTGACAAATAAAATAATTTTAGTGGCTTATCATGGTGTCCAAATACAATTTAATGTCTCTCTTCCCATAGTTTATCTCTTAATTACTAAAACAATTAACAAAATCTTCATCAACTATTCCTTGCTAGCAAAAGTCCAACAAGGGCAATTAGTTATAACTAGATTTTTTTTCTTTTCACCCTGGTCAAATAGGCCAACCTTATATTGTTTCCCAAAGTTTTTAGAAATATTCTTTCGCCTTTTTAAAGAAGATCCCAGTGCTAGCTTGTTGTTCATCTATGTTTTAAGAGTTAGGGTGTAAGTTTATCCTTTGGCTTATCATTTCTCAAAACATTTTTCAAAACATTAACTGTTCTGTATATTTAATATGAAATTTTTCAAATCACTTTCCTGATTCAACATCTGTATATCTCCTTTAGGGAATGAGTCATCCATCATTTACATTTGTATTATATTTAAGCCCCCTTCCAAAATGTCCACAAACATCCCATGAAATTTATCATTTTTCTTCTATACTTTCTATCCATTTGGTCAATAAGATTATCCATTTTGTCAAGCACCTTAGTGGGAAAGATTTTGGCTGCATTTTCATTATTGGCTTCTTCTAATGTCCAACCTTCAAATCTCCTTATGATGAAAAGGTAACCATTTTCCTATGAGCAGCTTTCTTAATTCAAGGTTGTAACTCCAAGTTCCTCAGGTCCCTTAATCTGTTGCTAACTTTCTAAAAACTAGCAACCTTTTGCTATGTAATCTAAGAAGGTATATACCAGAATAATAGAATTGGAAGGGACCTTGGAGGTCTTCTAATCCAACCAGTAGTGAAATTCATTTTTGTTTACTACTGGTACTGTGGGCATGACTTGGTGGGCATGGCAGGGGAAGGATACTGCAAAATCCCCATTCCCACATGACTCCAGGGAAAGGATACTGCCAAATCCCCATTCCCACACGACTCCAGGGAAAGAATACTGCCAAATCCCCATTCCCACACGACTCCAGGGAAAGAATACTGCCAAATCNCTCTCTCTCTCTCTCTCTCTCGAATTACGTGTGAAACTCCCGACTCGGAAGGCGGGGCGCGCTGACACCCCCCCCCCCGGCCGCCCCAGTCAAACCCAACCAACTCTCCTTCCCTAGGCGAGCCCAATTTTTTTTAAAAAAAATCCAATTTCGACCCGATGGATGGAGCTGGGAGAAGAGTTACTCTCCTTGCGGTTTACTTCGTGGGAGGAAAGCAGAAAGAGGATTCCGCGCCGGGTGAGAATGCTGCGTTTTTTCCAGCCAGCCAGCCAGCCAGCCGAGGCGTGCGTGGCGCTGGTCCCTTTGGCGTTTTTTGTTTTTTGAGTGAGTGGGTGGGTGGGTGGTTGTGTTTGAAGGCAACGGGGGTCAGTCGCTCCACCCGAATCCAGCACCTTCCAAATCCAGAGAGGGCAAAGCCTGTGGATCCCAGAAATCCGAAGCAACAGTTGGGCATGGAGGAAGAGGAGGAGGAGGAAGAAGAAGAAGAGGAGGAGGAGGAGGCGGTGATGGTGGAGAGGAGGAAGAAAAAATAGGAAGGCGGCGGCAACGGCGGTAAGCAAAAAGCGCCTGCCTTATTCTGCCGCAGTCGACGGGCGGCCCGCCGCCATCCCACCCGCCACGGAGCCTCTGGCGGACTGACTTCCAGTCACCCCACGCGCGTCGCTTAAACATTGATCCCCAGCCGCTGGCGGCCAATCCCGACCCGAGGAAAGGAGCCGGCCTTCGCTAGGAACAGCCAATCCACGGGCGGCATCTGGAGGAGAAAAAGGAGGGGCTGGGAGCCCCCCCTCCCTTCCCAAGGCTGGAGGAGGAGGAGGAGGAGTGGGTGGGTGGGCGCGGAAAGGAGAGAGTGGGAGGGGGGAAAGCCGGAGACCCAGCCTGGCAGAAGGAGGCTAGCCGGTCGCCCAGGGTGGTTTTTTTCTTTTTCTTTCGCTCGCCTGCTTTTTGCCCTGAGCATCTTTCAAGCATCGCGTTTGCTCCGCCCTGCAGCCTGGAAGCAGGTGGGAAGTTTGCACGCACGCCCAAGATGCCCGTTCAGACGCTGCCGGCTGCCTCCCTGGCGGCTGGTTAGATAGCGGGCTATCCACGCGGGTGGGTCCTCCTCGCGCGTCCTTGGAGCATCCAGGGAGGGCATCCTGAGCTACCCCGCGGGAGAGGGGAGGCTCGCCAGCTGGAGCCCACCTGTGTGTCTTTGTTTTCTTTTGTTTTATATTTTATTTTATTATTTTATTTTATTATTTTATTNTCCCCATTCCCACACGACTTCAGGGAAAGGATACTGCAAAATCCCCATTCCCACACGACTTCAGGGAAAGGATACTGCAAAATCCCCATTCCCACGTGACTCCAGGGAAAGGATACTGCAAAATCTCCATTCCCATCCCTCTCTGGGGCCAGCTAGAGGTGGTATTTGCCGGTTCTCTGAACTACTCAAAATTTCCCCTACCGGTTCTCCAGAACCTGTGAGAACCTGCTGAATTTCACCCCTGAATCCAACCCCCTGATCAAGCAGCAAACCCTGTACCATTTCAAACAAATAGTTGCCCAATATCTTCTTAGAAACATGCAGTAGTGGAGCACCCACAACTTCTAGAGGGAAGTCGTTCCACTGATTAATTGTTCTCACTGCCACGAGATTTCTCCTTCGTTCTAGGTTGCTTCTCTCCTTGATTAGTTTCCATCCATTGCTTCTTGTCCTGCCTTCTGGTGCTTTGGAGTATCCCCTCAAATTGCGACAGTCCCTCAAATATTGGAACACTGCTATCATGTCACCCCTAGTCATGATGGCAGTACGTTTTCTACAGTTTCTTTTTTAAAATCTGCCATGAACTCTTGTGGTTGATCTGTCAGACTTGGTATGGAATATTCTGGATCAAGTCACCATTCAACAACAAAGATTACTGGATAACTTTGTGGCCAGTTATCTCTCTCAATTCAGCTTGTCCATCTAAGCTGCTTTGAGTTCTGGGTGAGTAAAAGAAAGGCAGGAATGAAAGAAGGAGAAATAGGTCTGAGGTGTTTAGATGGTGCTGATATAAACACAGCATGTCTTCAGAAAGTTGGACCTTGAGTTTGAAATCCCTGGTGTAGGGTCTCCTGTTGAGTAGGAGGTTGGAGTGGAACAGGGGTCGGCAATCTTAAACACTCAAAGAGCCACAAAGGTCCTAAATGGAAGCCCCCCATTCAATTCTGGAACCGACTGGAAGTTCAGTTCCACCCACCATAGAGTCTCCTCCTGGTGTGGCATCCTTTTTCCTTTGCTGAATGGAAGTCCGGATCCACCCACCATAGAGTCTCCTCCTACTGTGACATCCTTTTTCCTTTGCTGAATGGAAGTCTGGTTCCCCCACCATAGAGTCTCCTCCTACTGTGGTGTCCTTTCTCCTCTGTTGACTGGAATTCCGGTTCCCCCACTATAGAGTCTCCTCCTAATGTGGCATCCTTTTTCCTTTGCTGAATGGAAGTCCGGTTCCCCCACCATAGAGTCTCCTCCTAATGTGGCATCCTTTTTCCTTTGCTGAATGGAAGTCCGATTCCACACACCATAGAGTCTCCTCCTAGTATGGCATCCTTTTTCCTTTGCTGAATGGAAGTCCGGTTCCCCCACCATAGAGTCTCCTCCTAGTGTGTCATCCTTTTTCCTTTACTGAATGGAAGTCCGGTTCCCCCACCATAGAGTGTCCTCCTAGTGTGGCATCCTTTTTCCTCTGCTAAGCTGCTTTGAGTTCTGGGTAAGTAAAAGAAAGACAGGAATGAAAGAAGGAGAAATAGGTCTGAGGTGTTTAGATGGCACTGATAGAAACACAACATGTCTTCAGAAAGTCTTCATCTTGCTAACCTTGTCTGGCCTTGGAAAGATTGGGTGGTTAGTTGAGGTGCTGGAATGACGTTGGCTAGATTGAAAAGTCAGGATCTTTGAAAAGCTCAAGACCAACCATCAAAGTTAATTTAATTTAATTCATTTTGTCAAGCATGTAAAAGATAACAAATTTAAGCATAAACATGATTATGAATACAGGAAATGGATACGAATAAGTGGGGACAGTAGGACAGGTAGATAGGCATACTGGTACGCTTATGCACCCCTTTATGGACACCTTAGGAATGGAGTGAGGTCAACAGTAGACAGTCTAAGGTTAACATTTTTGGGGTTTGGGGAAGAAACCAGAGTCAGGTAGTGCATTCCAGGTGTTACCACTGGAAGGCTGAGTCAACCTTGAACTGGTCAGGATCGAACTGCTGGCACTTGGCAAAATTAGCCTGCAATACTGCATTCCATACTGCCTCTTGATGCAGTAGGAGAGTGCAAAAGTTGGCTTGAAACTCTACATCAAGAAAACTAATATCATGGCATCCAGCCCACTCAATTCCTGGCAAATAGATGGGGAAGAAATGGAGGTAGTGACATATTTTATTTCCCTGGGCTCCACAATCACCACAGATGGGGACAGCAGCCAAGAAATCAAAAGACACTTGCTCCTGGGGAGGAAAGCTATGATATTAGTTTTCTTGATGTAGAGTTTCAAGNCCTCCCCCGCCCCCTCCACCCAACTGAGGGTGGCTGTACTCAGCAATACGGCAGTTGTAGGTACGGATGTCCTTGTTCTCGCGTTTACACTTGACGGCGATGGTGATCATGGCAGCCAGGAGGATGATGGACACGGTGCTCAGGGTCACGATTAAGGGCAGCGAGAGGTCCCAGTGAGGCCGGCGGTGCTGTTCCCCGTTGACCTGGGGCTCTCCTGCTTCAGGCAAAGGCCCAGCCAAGGCCCGGACAATCAGCTTGGCCACTGCAGAAAGGCTGGGCTTCCCGTGGTCACTGACCTTCACCACGAGTTCTGCCACAGGACTCAGCTCTTCCCAGTAAGGGTGAAGGGTGCGGATCTCCCCACTGGTAGGGTCTATCTCAAAGAGATGCTCCTCGTTGCCTTCCACAATCTCATAGGTCAAGCGTCCGCTTTCCCCGAAATCGTTATCCATGGCCCGGACGGTGCCCACGGGGTAGCCCACGCCGGCATTGCGGGGGACCTGGAGTTCAGCCGTGTCATTGATCAGGGCCGGCAAGACAATCATGGGGGCGTTGTCATTGACATCCAAGACGGTGACCCGGACGGTGGCGTTGCTCTCCCGGTGGGGGGAGCCCGAGTCTTTGGCCAACACGTGGAACTCAAAATGTTTGGTCTGCTCGTAATTGAAGCTGCGCAAAGCGTAGATGGCCCCGTTGGTTGGGTTGACCGAGACGTAGGTGTAAATAGAGACGTCCCCCACGTGTCCCGGCAGAATGGAGTAGGAGACGGTGCCATTTTGGCCCAGGTCGGGGTCCTTGGCCAACACGGACCCCAGATACTCTCCCGGGATGTTGTTCTCAGGCACTTGCAGCACATAAAGGCTCTTGCTGAAACGTGGCGGGTTGTCATTCTCGTCTAGGATCCTGACTGAGAAGGACTTGGTGGAATTCAGAGGCGGGTTGCCCCCGTCCCGAGCCAAGATGGTGACATTGTACTCGTCCTGCACCTCCCTGTCCAAGGGCCGGTCGGTCACCACTGTGTACAGGTTATCATAATTCTCCTCTAAGGTGAAGGGCACGGCCCCATCTCCTCCACTGCCATCGCTGCCTTGCACCCGGCACTGCAGCTGCCCATTCTTCCCGGAGTCCCGGTCCGTCACCCTGACCAGGGCGATGACGGTGCCCGGCGGGGCCGCCTCGCTCAGGGCCCCCTGGCGCACCGAGACGAAGCCAATGGTGGGCGCATTGTCATTACGATCCAACAAATGCACAGTCACTTTGCAATGGGCAGGGATAGGATTGGGACCCAAATCCCGGGCCTGGACGTCGATCTCCACCAAGTTGCCCTCCTCGTAGTCCAGGTTGCCTTTGACCCGGATCAAGCCCGTCTGGGGATCGATGCTGAACAGCTCCCGCACCCGGTCGGGCGTGTAACCGCTGAAGGAGTAGAGCACCTGGCCGTTGGTGCCTTCGTCGGCGTCGGTGGCGTTGAGGTCGAGGAGGACGGTGCCCAGCGGGACGTTCTCCGGCAGCTCCACCACGTAGGAAGCCGCCTCGAAGACCGGGCTGTTGTCGTTGGAGTCGATCAAGCGGACGTTTAGCTGGACGGTGCCGGAGCGAGGCGGCTCCCCGCCGTCCAGGGCGGTCAGCACCAAGGTGTGGTGGCTCTGCTCCTCACGATCCAGCGGCTTCTGGACCACCAGCTCGGGGAATTTGGTGCCGTCGCCCCGCGCTTTGACATCAAGGGCGAAGAGGCCGTAGTCGTCGCGGGTGAGCAGGTAAGTCCGCAGGCCGTTCTCGCCCGCGTCGGGGTCGTGGGCGCTGGCCAGCGGGAAGCGGGTGCCCGGCGCTGCGTTCTCGGAGATGTCCAAGTCCACTTGGTCGGAGGGGAAAGCGGGCGCGTTGTCGTTGAGGTCCTGGATCTCCACTTTGATCATGCAGATCTCCTGGTCGTTGGCGAAGACCTCGAGGGAGAGCTGGCACTTGGCGTTCCGGCGGCAGAGAGCCTCGCGGTCCAGGCGCTGCTTGGTGTACAGCAAGCCGCTCTCGCCGTCCACATCCAGCAGGTGGGGAGCCGAGTTCTCCAGCACGCGGAAAGTCGCCTTGGCACCGCGGGGCCGCTCCAGCGAGGGCGACCCGCCGCTCGACGACCCGGACTGCAGCCGGGCATCGCGGCCGATGTTGCCGATCACCGTGCCGGCGCCTTGCTCCTCTGGCACCGAATAGTTGAGGTTCCTTAAGGCCAGGGCGGGAGCCCAGCAAAGGATGAAGCACCAAGCGGAGAGGGACATCCCAGCGGACGGCGAGGACGAGGCCGCCTCTCGGCCAACCCCGCCGCCGCCGTCGCCGCCGCTGCTGCTGCCGCGTTGGCGCCTCTGCTTTCCAGCCGATCGTCGCGCCCCTCCGCCTCCTCCTCCTCCTCCTCCTCCTCCTCTCGCTCTGCCCCTTCAAGTTCCCGAACCTGTTGCTCGGCACGATCGACTCGGCGCCGGCACCACCATGGACGAACCCGGCAAAGGGCGGTCGAGGCTGCCACCAACGGCCAGGGAAAAGGGTCTTTTCTTTTTTCCGGTCCTCGTCTCCTCCTCCTCCTCCTCCTCTCCTCCTCCTCTCCCTCCTCCTCCGTGCTGCAGTTTCCCCTTGCTCCGTCCCAACTTCAGCGAGGCGGAGGGACGTGCCAAGGCTTAAAGCCCCTTCCCTTCTGGGGGGCGACCGAAAGGAGCGAAAGATCAGCCCCGGCTTTTTATTTTCCCCCAAGGCAGGAGCTGTTCCTTCCAAAAATTAAAAATCAAATCAAACCAAACCCTTTGCAACGATGCCAAAGATCCTCACGAGAAGCTTCAAAGAAGAAGAAAAAAGAGAGAGGGAAGCAAAAGACGGAGTGTTTTTTTTTTTTTTTTCTGCCAGGGAATTCGAGGTATTTAACAAAAAAGAAGAAGAAAGAAAGAAAAACCAGCGGCTCCTGGATCCCAAACGACTTGGAAAAACGGGATCGTAAGAAAAGCAAGATCCGGAGAAGGTTGGATGGAAGGCGCAGAACCGTTGGGCCAAATCTTGCCGCTTTAAGATGTCAGGGATGGCAAAAGGGACGTTTCCCCGGCTCCGCAGCGTCTCGGGTGTTGAGTGTGTGTGTGTGTGTTTTTCAACGCGCCGCTTGCTGCCTTTGGAGATCTAATCGCGCCCGCTTGGCTGCTGCGGTCAGCCGCAGCATCGCCGCTTGCCTCCCCGTTCCTCTCGCCCTGCTTCTCTCGCTCGCTCGCCGGCGCGCTTCGCCTCCTCCGCCGGTGCCGAGGCTCCTCCGCAGAGGGAAAACCGGTTTCCCCCAAAAGCAAAAAAAAGAATAATAATGACAGCAACAATAATAGTATAGATATATATATATATATAAGGTCCAAGTCCCTCTGGATTTGTACTTCCAAAAAGCCCGTGTAGAGAGAGAGAGAGAGAAAGGCAGGGGAAAAAATACGCGAGGATCACATTTCTAGAGGTAAGGTTGGATAGATGGAGCGAGGAAGCGCCCTCAGGTTCCGAGGCTCCTCCGGCTTCACCACGGATCGCTTGGGCGGAAGGGCGGCGGGGAAAAGCGGCGGGGGAGAGAGAAACGATGGCGATTTAGCAAGGTAGCCCCGTCCAAAGCGGCTGGGGAGATTCCGCCCAGGAGACCGGCAGCCTCCGCTTCCTCCGCCGGTCCTGGGGCTGGTCTTGATGCTGCTGATGCTGGCGCCGCCACATCGCTCGCTCGCCCGCCCGCCCGGCTCTCCTCTCCTCTTCCTCTCTCTCCTCTCTCGTTCCTGCCGCCGCCGCCGCCGCCGCCGCTGCTGTGGCTGTTTGCTGTTTGCTGCCTCGGCGCGTGTCTGCGAGTGCTTTGCGCTTTGCGCTGGCTGCGGTTGAATTTCAGTCCCGCTCGCCTCTCCCCGCGCCCTGCCTTGCCCGTCAAGAGGAAATCAACAGGCAACTCATGGCTGAGCGCAGAGGTTTAAAAAAAAAAAGGAGAGCGAGGGAGAGAGAGAGAGAGAGCCAGCCGAGGGTGGGGGCGACGGCGAGGCTGCACATACACACACACGCACACATGCATGCGCCCCGAGCCTCTCCAAAAAAATAAAGCAAAGGGGAAACGCGCCTCGGCTGTTCCTGGAGCCTCCTCTCCTTCCTTTTCAGCTAAGGCCACTTTTTTTGTCCTCTTCGGGGCGAAGGGGCTGGCTCTTCCACCCGGCTTCCCATCTTCCCGGTGTATTTTATTTTATTTCTTAAATGGGGGAAAGCCAGATGAAAGCTTCACGCTCGCCGAAAACCCAAGGAGGGAAGGGGACGCTGTGTAAAATGTAGAAGCTGCAAGGTGCTTTCTCGCTTTCTCTCTCTCTATGTATGTGTCTCTCTTTCTCTTTTTTTGCGGTACGTGCCGAGCGGGGAGACGAGCCTCGTTTTGCGAGGCAACCTGACGGTGGGTTTGGGGAGGCTGGGTTGTGGGGGGGGGGAAGGCAAGCCTCCCCCCGCCGCTGGATGTAGCGGAGCAGGTGCTGGGGAAGTCGAGGAAACCGCAGCCCTAGACCTTCAGGTGTTGAGAGCCGCTGGGGCGAATCGGAGGGAGCTGTCCAAAAAAATCAGCAGCTTAAAAAAGATCACTAAAATAAAATAAAATAGGGAGGGGGGGGGGACACCAGGATGATCCAAAGTGCCTCGTGTCGCGCGTGGCACGGGGCTGTGGCTTTCCTGCCTTCACCTTTGCACGCCCGCGCATGGACCAAGATTGCAAGCCTCAAGTGAGCAGGGAAGAAGTGTGTGTGTGTGTTTGTGTGTGCGCGCGCCCGCCCCCGCGCGCGCGTGTGTCCCCCCTCTTTAAAAAAAAATAAAATAAATCAAAATTAACGAAATAAAAATAAGAAGAGCCAGCGGTGTTGCAGCTCCGCTTTTACCATCCTTCTCCAACCCAAGGAAGGGAGACACTAATAATAATTTTAAAAATAATAAAAAACACCCTCAAAATACCCCCCTTCCTCCCCCCCAAGTCCCCAAATCAGAGGTTGGGTTGAAAGTCTGGGATTCTCCCTCCCTCCCTCCCTCCCTCCCTCTCTCTCTCTCTCTCTCTCTCTC